CTCCCCCGCAATCTACAATCTCTACAAAATCCTATTCAACCAATACGAAAAATTTGACGTCAGTGACTGGAGTGGATAGTGAAGAGGAATATACAAAGGTTAGAGTAGCTCAGGGTTCAGTGTTGGGGCCTCTGCAATATCTACTATATGTTCACAGTCTTAGACTTGCTGGTGCTACTTACTATATGTTTGCAGACAGTATCAGTTTCTGCTGAAAATAACAGAGATAATTTAGAAAGAATCCCAAACTCAGATCTTAAGAAATATAACCACTGGCTGAACAATAACAAACTAACTATAAATACAGAAAAGACTGTCTATATGATTGTTAAGCAAAATGGCAAGGACCCCTGTAAAATAAATGTAAAATTAGACAAGCAGTATTAAAGGAAGTCACTCAGTATTAATATCTAGGGCTTCATATTTTGGACAATTTGACATGGAATGCACACATAGAACATATTTTAAAGAAAATCGCACCAATAGTGTGCACACCAGCTAAATACAAATGTGAAGTATCTACTTTATAATGGTATGATAGAACCTCACCTCAGATACCTATAACCTAATACCCTGATGGGAAAACGCTAGTGAACACCTGATGAACAAATTACAAAGGGCCCAGAACAAAGCTGTTAAAGCAATATTTTATATAGACTACAAAACATCTACTCAGGGTTTATATGAACATTTACCATTCTTAAAGATAAAACAAATAAAGAAGCACAAACAATCAAAATTAATTTATTATTTGAAAAATAATCTTATTAAAATTAATGTTACATTAAATAAAAGCAAGAATTTTCACTCCTACAACATAAGATCCAGAGAGGCATATAGAAATAAGTATAGTGCTACCAAGAAGTGTCAGGATTCTCCAGTATACAGAGCATCCAAACATTCAATCGCCTTCCAACTAATATCCAAAATGAGAGGCTGCCCAAATTAACCCGTGCCCTAAAAGACTATCACAAAACCAAAGACTAATCTGCTTTAAGAGAATATACAAGAAGGCAGTGGAGACTATTGTTATTAATATTAGGTATATAGAAAATAAAGTAGGTACTTAACCCATTATTTAATTGTTAAATTTTTACAACATTGTTGTTAGGCCTTGGTAGGTATACTGTTTTGAGGTCAAAAAAAAAAGATGCTGAAATAAAAGTCTTTTAAAACAGTTTTCTATTATTTTTACTTTTTGAGGAAGAAAGTTGAAGAGTTTTATACACATGTAAGTGAGTCCAGTCTCAGTGAGAGCAAGCCAGTGCACTGGGACTGGATAATTTAAGATAATTGACATGTTATGTTTGTGTAGTTAACAAAGGACCCCGCACACCTCTTATACAGGTTGGGCCTATGAGAACTTTTTATCAGGAAGTCAAGGGGTAGCACATAACAAGATTTCATTGAGTTTGCCAGAAAACCAAAAACCCATAAGAGGTGTGCGGCTCCGTATGGGGTCCTTTATCAAAGTTTCTATGTAGGACAAGTTAAGAATTTGTCTCAGCACACATTTTTGCATAATAAACGCATCTTCTTCGCATCCTGCTCTACCCCAGAATATTATTCCATAGCGTGCAAAAAAATAGAAAGTGGTATAGTAGACAGATAGGAGCAATTCTCTGTCTAGGAATTGTTTTAGAACACGAAAAGAATAGCAGGTGCTACCAAGGGTGTACCGATTTTCTTAGAAATAGCTTAATTTGGTTTGTTCCATTTTAGGTGATGATTTATGATCTATTTCTATTCCCAGAAATTTTACATTATCTGAAAGCCTCACATTTTGGGAAGAGATATTTAAACTTGTTGGGTGGTTATTAGTTGACTGAAGTGTATAAAAACTCATAGAGAGGGTTTTATCTGTGTTTAAAAGCAATAGATTACTGTTAAACCAGTTTTGGCCTTTACCATATAATAGTAAGAATAATATCTGAACTTAACCTTAGTCCTTATATTTTCTCATCAATCAGACCGGGTTTCTTTTCTTTTTTTTTATGACATTAAAGAATTTTTCAGGAGAATTATCAGTAAGTCACAAGGTATATTATTATAACAGATAAATTAACAGAGCCTGTCTAAAAATACTTAATCTAAAATTCAAAATTTCTTTACCGCCACCTATTGTTATTCGTTAACTCCAGAGTGAATCAATCAATCAAACCTATATTTCCTAATTATTTCTAGTCATACTGAGACAAATTCGTAACCAAAAATCATGTAGTAGTTTTATTAGTCTTTTCAATACTTCTAATAGTAATTCCTAAAATCCCTGAATTTCGTTTGTTGCCAAAATTATACAAGTCTTAATCTAAACTCATTTGACTATACAGAAAAATGTCATTCAATGATTATTATACATTTTAACTAATTTGGTTCATTAGTCGGAGCTCGGAGCCCAAAGCTCTTCAGAGAACTCACATTAATAATTGTCAATAGTCTTGTGCTTTTTATTCTCCTAACTATACTCTCAGCAAAAATATTGAATAGTCCTTTAGTCCTTTCGCTCAAAGTCAATTAAATCGCAATAATGTTCCATAGTCATTTCACTTTGCATCATAGTCATTGCAATAAACGGTTAAATACTAAACTCGAAATTTATTACATGTACTTACAATTTTTCCTTATTTTCACTAAACTAATTTCAGACCACGCATTTTATAATGTAATTTAATATAGGCACACCAATACTGAAGAAAATTACCAACAGTACCAGCATCAAAATTATAAAGTCAAAAGTTGTACAATCTCAGCAAGAAAACAATATCAACAAAATCTATTGCAACAACACCTGACAGTTCTTTTTCTATGTTAACTCTAAGTACAATCACTTCAGTATTGTTGTCAAAGCAACTCTAGTCCCATTTGAATCCGACCAGTAGGTTGCAGAGTGTGTTGCAGCGCAATTTCAGAGTGTTTTTGCTAAAATCAGCCCTCCTACAGATACAACACTTCCAGTTGAATCCTACTCCAGAACAGAAATCAGCACCACAAATTTCACCCCGGAAAAGGTAGAGATCGCCATTAAATCCCTAAGGGTGAACTCCAGCCCTGGACTTGACAAGATCCCTCCTATATTTCTTTAAAATTTGCAGACTCTAAAGGGGCGTCTGATAGCACTTATGAATTACAATATCCACAGGAGATTTTCCACAACTTTGGAAAAAAGTAGTGGTTATTCCTATATTCAAAAAGTGTAACAATAAGCTAGTAGAAAATTACAGACCAGTCAGCCCGACCAGCGCCTTTGGTGAATGTATGAAAAAAATCATTAATAAGGAACTCACAAGCTTTTTCCTTGAAGCTCATATTATACTACCACAACAACATGGTTTTCTCCCCAAAAAATCTACCTTTACAAACCTCCTAATCAGACTCAATATATGGACAAAGGCGGATGATGAGAATGATCCAATTGATGTAGTTTTTCTTGACTTTGAAAAAGCATTTGATAAGATACCAACAATATAAGTACTTATTATATAAGCTTTTAGGATCAGAGACGATTCACTGCGACTTCTTGAGGAATTCCTTACTGGACGTACCTTTCAGGTAAGGACAGGAATATCAATCTCAGTTGAATTCTCTGTACACAGCAGCGTACCACAAGGCTCAGTCTTGGGATCCTTGCTTTTCTCAGCGTATTTTTGTGACATACCAAAAACTGTAGACCAAATATGAATCGTTTGCAGATGACGCAAGCCTATCCTGCAATCCACTACTACGGTTTGCAGACTTCCAGGAAGACCTGTACACCATCAAACAGTGGACAATATCTTGGAAAATGCTATTGAATGACCTCAAGTGCACAGTTCTATATATCAACCATAATTACCCTGAACATGATCACCGCCTCCAAGAAACGTTAATCAAAAAGGTTTTGTGCCACAAAGACATAGGAATAACAATCACATCAAACTTGAAATGGGAACAACACATCACTGAAATTACAAAAAAGCCAAATCATTAATTTACCTCATTCACAAATCAATTTAAAGAAATGGTCTAAAGCTCTACAAAACTTATGTAAGACTAAAACTCAAATACGCCCATCTATCTTGGAACCCATATTACATCAAAGACATTGAACCGATTGAGAAAGTACAGCGCCATATTATAAGGATACCTAATGAACTCAAAGAGTTACCCTATGAGAGGCACCTTAATCAACTAAACCTAACTACATTAAAAGATGAGTGAAGACCTTATTGAAACTTACAAAATACTGAATGGTCACTATGCATGTGACATTTACTTCTTCTTCGCCACTAGTGAAGTGAACTTGAGAAGGGAAGATATAACAAGTTACTGGGAAGAAATTTCTTAACTAACACGAGTGGTTTAGCAGTGAAATAGACTTACTCATGAAACAATTCGTGCAACATCAGTAAATCAAATGAGGGGCTAGCACAATACGTTTGTGCATTATGGTGTCTAAAAGACTAAAATCTCAGAAATCATCAGATACTTGCAAATTGGAACATTCTTTTATCATCCTCTTCTTGACCTTTGACACAGATAAGATCCATGAATGATATCTGATCTTATTCTAATGGAATAAATCTTCATTTCCCTCAAAAAATGTAGATTAACCGTTCTAAATTTTTTTATACTTCTTGATTCGCGACTGTCAACTGATAATACTTTTCGCAACTTCTTTACTTTTCAAATTTTTCACAGACAAAATTCGATTCTGGAAGCAAAATAACGCTGGCAAGAGGCAAAACTTCAACTCTGTACTGTCTAATGTCCACTATGTATTGTCTAATGACCACTATGTGTTGTCTACTTTTCCGATAACTGTCGACTGTAGACTATCTTGATTGTCATTTGCTTAAATAGTTTCAGTTTCCTCTTTTGGATATTCGATTACAATTAATTTGAATAATCCTGATTAAAAAATTAATCCAGATAAGGCCTTAGAATCTCAAAAAATAAAGCCAATAATAATTGTTATGGATGGGTAGTTTAGCCACATATTTATTTTGATATCATTACTCTAGGGCTACCTAAAACGTCAAGCCTTATACTCCTGCCTCACTTGCATCCCGGAGGCAAAAGACGACCCGGAAAAAGCCGGAGGCGTTTGTCTAGCTTGCAGCTTCCATTGTCATGAAGGACACAATCTGATCGAACTCTACACCAAGAGAAATTTCCGCTGCGATTGCGGCAACAGCAAATTTGCCGCGTCCGGAAACAAATGCAGCTTGTTGGAGGATAAAACCGACACCAACGAATTGAATTGTTACAATCAGAATTTTTCGGGTACTTATTGCGTGTGCCATCGTCCTTATCCGGATCTCGATGATCCTATTCCTGACGAGATGATTCAATGTATTATTTGTGAAGATTGGTATCATTCCAGGCATTTGGGCGTTGAAGTTCCTGAAGATAATTTTGCTGGTATTTTTTTCATTTTGTTTTTTTTTTAATTTCCTAATTTATTTTTATGTTTAGAAATGACTTGCGAACTTTGCGTCACAAAACTTGAATTTATGCTGCATTATGATGCTCTAGCCTATAGAGGCTCGTCTATGAACACTAGTAGAGACATTGATGTTGACGTTGAAGAAAATAATGCTGGTAATGAGGGTCAGGAATGCAAAAGGCCCAAAAATAGATCTGACCGGGCCACTGCCAAGTTTTGGCATGAAGTAAGATTTTATTGTGTTGTATAAAAAAAAAAATGCTATAATATATATTTTTCTTTTCAGTATACTTGGAGGGAACAATTGTGCACATGCGATGAATGCCTCAAAATGTATGAAAACGAAGATGTTGCTTTTCTTCTTGACCAAGAAGATCCGGTGCATCTCTACGAAGAAAAAAGCAAAGCTAAAGCCAAAGCATTTGCTGAAAATCAAAACCAACAAATGATGAACTCTGTCGATAGAGTTGCAATGATTGAGACAATCATTGGCTTCAATGATCTGAAAGACAATTTGATTGATTACCTGAAAAAGTTTGCTGAAAACAAAAAGGTGGTTCGCGAAGAAGATATTAAGGAGTTCTTTCAGGGCATGGAAGCTCGTAAGAAGGCTAAAGTTGATCATGTACAACACAATTGTCGTTAAAAACAATTTGGGTTATTTTTTTAATGCATGCTTTTGAAGCGGTTTAAATTTAGAAGTGCAGTTGATTTTTTTTTACTGTAATTAACTGCTTTTTTCATTCACCATATTTGTATTATCATCAATGTGTATATCTATTATCAACATAATACTATGTATTCAATATACAATATTGAAGTAAGCGGGGTTGTCTTTTTAATTCTACTTTTCATTGAAATAGCAGATCCTATGTAGATGAAATTAGGCCCCCTTCAATTGCAAAAAGTCAGAAATAATTTTTTTAGCTTTACAAAAGAATACAAAAAAATCTATTAGTTCCAAACCTATCAATCAACAAAGCAACACATTGGGTTTACACAAGAGATTATTAGATTTTTGTAACAATTTGGTTTTATTCTTAAAATAATTTCTATAACAATCATTCCTACGCCATATAAATAAAAGTGTTGATGTCGTCCTCGTCGCGACGCATATATTTGTTTTCAATGAGCCACTCTAGTTGTTCCTTGATCATTTTCTTCGAGGGTAAAAACATATTTTTCAAAATATCCACAAGTTCTGTTTGTAAAGCGGCGTTTGATATCCGTTTGCGCATTTTCAAGATTTTTATTATCGCTTCCTGCGTTCGTAATATTCTCAATTGGACGATAGACTGGTTGTCTTCGATTTGGGACCTTTCTGTACTCAATTGCAGTCTACCAACCAGATTAACTTTCCCTCTTTTTTGTGTTTTTCCGTTTTTGATTAGGGCGAATTCTTGATTGACCCAAAACACTGTGTGTTCATCGAAATCTTTTGGGGCACTCGCTATACCGCAAAACAGTAAAAGTTGCCTTTTTAATTTGGGAAAAGCTACTAGCGACCATAAAGTCCTTCTCAATTCTCCATCTGGTAACTCTGTGGCTAACCTATAATTATTAATAATATGATGTATTTTAAGCTACAAAATTACCAAAAAGTTACCTACCTGAGATTTTCATAGGTGATTTTATCGTGTGTTCTTTGGTTCCACGCAAACAGCACGGCCATTTGAAAAGTGGTAACATCCAAATCGAACTTGCCGCTATTAGTGGAAAATGTTATCGTTCCATTGCTCATATGATGGTACCATTGCAATTTTCTCCCGGAATGTTTTTTCTTATAGAAATCTTCTACTTCTGGAATATAATCTTCAAGTTCCACTGGTAAACTGACTGTCACTCTTTCAGATCCTCTCGCCCATGCACCTAAACATTTTCCGAGTTATAATTATGCCACTATTGTGTACTATATTCATTTAAATATGTAAAACTTCATTTTTAGTGTTTCTAGAGTCTTCAGCCTGAATTCATGAACTTGAGATTCTTTGGTCTTTAAGATCTTCAAAGTCTTCAAGCTTTGAATAAAGAGCTTCAAAATGTTTGAAATCTGATTTTTTTAGAATCTTCAGAGGTTTCTCATTTGGGTCTTGAATCAAGAGAATCTTCCAAGGACCAGCCAAGGGTCTCGAATGAGCAAATTCATTAGACTTAGCAGATTAGAAAATCTTCAGAGCTTTCAGAATTTTTAAACCTTTATTTTTGTTATTAGAGTCTGAATCCATGAGCTGGAGACCCTTTGGTTTTCAAGATATTTGAAGTCTTTAAGCTTTGAGCCTCAAAATGTTTGAAATCTGATTTTTTCAGAATCTTCAGAAACGTCTCTCTTATGTCTTGAATCAAGACAATCTTCCAATGAAAACTCATGGGTCTCAAAGCAGCAAATTCATTAGACTCAGCAGATTAGAAAATCTTCAGAGGTTTCAGAATATTTAAACCTTTATTTTTGTGTTTCAAAGTTTTCAGTCTGAATTCATGAGCTGGAGACCCTTTGGTTTGCAAGATCTTTGAAGTCTTTAAGTTTTGAGCCTCAAAATATTTGAAATCTGATTTTTTCAGCATCTTCAGAGGCTTCTCTCTAGGGTCTTAAGGCAGAAGACTTTGCAGCATCAGTGATGAGTCTCAAATCAGCAGATTCATTAGAATACACATTGCAAAATCTTTTTAAAAAATCCCCAGAGCTTTCAGAATCTTTAAACCCTTATTGCTGCGTTTTCAGAGTAAATTCATGACTCTGCTATTTCCTCGAACATTACAATCTTGACTTGTAACTTTACAATAAGTCTTGTAACATAAATACCTATTTAAAGATGACAAGGTAATTTACTTACCAGCATTTAAAATTTTAATATTTATAGCATCATGACGTTCAGTTGAAGTTCTGAATTGGGCATTCAAATCTTCGCTTACTTTTATGTCTTGGAACATTCTGGCTAATTTATTAACATAATCTGCAGGCATGCCAACTTCTCTTAACCATTCAACCTGTAAATTCGATATTTTATAATTTTTCTTATGGTGATGTTCTCCTGAATGTGAACAAAATGATTTTGACTTAAAAATGATCATTTCTGATAGCCTAAACTCCATGGTAAATCAATGCAAGATTTGAATTTCGAATGCTCAACAAATCCTTACCATATCCTCTTCCTTTTCACTGTCGGCACTAGCGTCTAATATTAGCCTTCTTGTTAAATGTGCCTTATGATACCTCATAAAAACATCTTTATTTGATACATATTTAAGGACTAGCAATACATCTCTTAATCTGCAATAAACAAACAATAACGCCCCTCTTTCAATCAAATTGAATCAATCAATTTACCTCGATTCGATTTCTTCACTGGTAAGTCTTTTGGATAACGGCGTCCGCCTAAGTAACATATCACAGAAATTGGCCAATAATTCTGGGCATTTACTCTCCGGTGTAACCACTTTTCCCGCTATACTTCTACCCGTACCTAATTCTAACCTAAACACAGTTGTGTCATTGACCACAGACTTAAACGCCTTATCTCTGGCCGTTAAAAACCTTGGATCGTCTGAAAAGGCGTCATGGACTAATTTACTAAATTTCCTAAAAATAATCACTAGTTAAAATTTCCAATTTTAATAAAGGAATTTTTACCTAAACAACTCCAATAATCTTTCGACATATTTTTCAGAATCTTGCGTTATTATATCAGCTGCCGCAATCATATCAGCCAAGCCCGCCTGAGTAATATGATTTTCCAATTCTTTAAGCATCGGCTGTACACCTTCGGGTACTCTTTCTAATAACCTAAACATCAATTGCAGTCTTTCAGTTTCTCCGTCTTTAATGAGCGCAGCGCATTCTGCTAACAATACCGACAACGGATTACCTACTAACACTTTAACGCAACATTGGATCACTCCATTGCTGCCTGCTTCTAAATATCTCTGAGCCCTGGCTTCTTCTTCGCGCAATTTTGCGTCAGCGTATCGCATGTAAGCTAGAACTCCATTGTTGGCTAAATGTTCGGGAGCTTTCATCCGATAGAACATTTCCGTACTTTGGATGTAGGCTGCTTCGAAGTTTTCTCTGTAAATCTCTAATCTATCTTCAGAGTTTGAACAGAGGTTTACATACGATTCCCTAACACCTGAAAGAATTTATATTGGAGAGTTTTCAAATCGAATAAGGCCCAGTTTATTGATCTACAAAAATTGTCTGGGTTTGCATGCTTTTAATGTCATTAAAAATTTAATGTTATATAGAGTAAGTTACCTATGACCAGTTGTGAGTCGAAAGCCTCCCCATTTCTTTCAGCATGCACCAATTTCATAGCACTTTCTTGTAATCTGTGTTTTATATCACTAAATATACTTTCGTTCCAACTGTCTAACATTAGTTTTCTTACTATACTCTCGTCCGAGGCGCCTTTTTTGTTATTATTGCTTTGCATACTTGTTCCCGCTGATGTGGTTTTACCTTGCAGGCTACTTTCTAGCTGCCTAAAGAGGAAAAAATTGGATTAGGTATAAGGAAGTTTAACTAAATAAATTTAAAAAAAAAAGATACAGTCGTTTCATTTTCATAAAACTTACATGTGTGATCCACCAGAATAATTTTTGTTATTGAAAAACCGGCCCTCATTAAGTTAAATACAGGATTGTCGTTATGTATGGAACGGTTTCGTATTTCAGAAAAGGCTTAAGAAAAATGTGTTAATAGCTTTGTTCCAACCCAGCATTAAGGATTAAGAAACTGTACATTTCACTGTCAAGATTTTCCGCAAAACGTAAAATTTGTATGTAGAATCCGAAATTCGTATACAGAGTGATTCGGAAAACCGTTCTTGGGACAGTTTTTTGGCATGTTGGAACAGACCTAATGCGTATTGAAGATTTATTTATAGGGGGGCTGGTAGGTGGTAGGAAATATTTTTGTAGGCACGTTCTGAAATATTGGGCAGTTTCCATAGATAACGACAACCCTGTATATTTATTTAAACCTGTGGGTAGTAGGTAATATTTTGGCACATACAGAGGTACTGAACCTGAGGGGCGGAATATGGACATTTTCACCCTAGTCTCGGGCACAACTGGTGCTGAAGTTATAGACAGTACCACCGTTTAGGGAACCTGACTTGACTTGCAAATTCCTTTGGGGTGGTTTAAAGGGGTAAAACTAGTTATTGCGATCCATGAAAAAAAGGGATTTTATGAAAATATGAACATTTCCACCCTAGTCTCGGGCGAAAATGTGTACTGGAAATTGTAGGCAGTACCAATATACACCGTTTAGGATACTTAAAAAGACTTGCAAATTACTTCGAGGGTGGTTCAAGGGTAAGGGGGTAAAACTAATCATTGAGATTTATCGAAAGAAGAATTTTTGTGAAAATCTGGACATTTCCACCCTAGTCTCGGGTACAAATGGTACTAAACTCTGTCTAACCAGAGTTGAACGTTGAAGGTCACTTACTCGAATATATCACAGACGTTGCATTTTGCTGCTATCTTTATTGCACGTGCACTGTGTTTATCAAACCAAAATAGGTCCGAATATGTGAATCCTATGGTTACAAGGATAAGTAAGTGACCTTCAAAGTTCAACTTTGGTTAGACAGAGTTTAGAAGTTATAGACAGTACCAATATACACCGTTTAGGAAACCTCACTTGACTTGCAAATTACTTTGATGGTGGTTTAAGGGGGTAAAACTAATAATTGCAATTCATCGAAAAAAATGGTTTTTGTGAAAATATGGACATTTCCACCCTAGTCTTGGGTACAAATGGTACTGGAAATTATAGGCAGTACCAATATACACTGTTTAAGGAACTTCGCTTGACTTGCAATCCCACTATTGAAGAAATTTTAGAAGATAGCAAACACACAAGCATACCAGGAAATGGTTCAAGGAATTGGTTTTATGATGGTATAATTTGTACACTATCAATTGGAATTTTTTTGAATTTATTATTATTTTACATTGTCGTTATCGTCAGTCATTCTACAATCATGAAATAATAGGCTTATGATAACTAAAATATGAAATAAATTTTTTTATTTGTAATTTACCTGAATATCTAACAAATACTGCTGTGCTTCCTGATTTCGTAAATATATGAAGCGATTTCCACTTCTCTCTCGACTAGGTGGCAGTAGAGGGCATGCCTAGCATTGCATGTTTTCGTTACAAAGCAACTCCCAATAAACAAAATTACCCTACTTTGCGTAAAGAAGTTTCACTACTGCAAATTTATATCGATAGTTTCTACTAGTGCAAAATTCTGATTGTTTCAAATTAAAAATAAAATACCAGTATTTTGCTGCTGAAATATCAAATGTAGAATCGACTCCTAACTTACAGTGCCATTTGAACCCTAGACTATTGGGTGGAAATGTCGATTCCAGGCTCACCTAAAGTTGAAATTGAGCCGTAAAAATATCGAACTGCGATTTCTGTCCAATTTAGAGACATAGGTCACATAGAGCGGTATAAAAACCTCATTTTTCACTTTTATAATACTAAGATTCAACTTAATATGTATTTTTTCAGGCCTTTTAAAACAGTCAATTGAGTTATTGAGGTCTAAAAAGCTCAGTTTGCCTCCTTATAGAGCTGAAATTCAACTGAGAAAAATAAAAATCACATTCTCGGCTCTCCCAGAAAAGCCAACTCTGAGTGAAAATTGAGGTATAAAAGGTTCATTTTTGACCCTTGTACAGCTGAATTTGAAATGAAGAAACATAGAAATTCTATTCCAGGCTTACCTAAAGTTGAAATTGAGTCATAAACGTTGCAATTTATTGTAATTTCGTGTGGGGTGTATGGAGATTTAAATTGATTAATGATCTCCAGTTTCACCAAGTGACGTCAAGTCTGTTGTATTTTGTGTATAAATGTAACGCTTTTTAAACACATCCACATTGATTTACAGGTGATTTATCTCGATTTTTGGAGATTTCTCTTAATTTTCAGAGATTTAACTGGATTATTAGTGATTTATTGTGATATTGATTGTGATTTAAAAAGATTTTTACTGATTTATGTTGATTTTATCTGATTTGAGAAAAAAATAACTGATTTATATAAGGTCTGTTCCAACACGTCAAAAATCGTCTCATGAACAGTTTCGAAACCACTCAGTGAACGAATTTTGGTTTCTACGCATAAATTTTACTCTTTGCGCAGAATCGCGACGGTACATTGTACGGTTTCCTGCTGTGGTTGGAACAAACCTATAGATTTATCCAAGATTCCATTGATTTATACCAGGTTTGTACACATATAGTCCGTTGCATGGTTCTTGACCTACGGCTACTGAATAGACAGAGGGGACAATGAACTATTGCTGCGTTGTCATATCGATAATATTTATTAATACATGAAAATTGCAATAAAATTTCCTTCATTTTCATGTAATAATAAATATTATTATTGATATGACAACGCAGCAATAGCCCATTGTTCTTTCTGTCTATTTAGTAGTCACAGCTCAAGAACCATGCAACGGACTTTATTGAACCCAGTTATCTCCCCTTAGAAAACCATTGAAGATACAGGGTGGACCAAATGGGGAAAAAGTTGTGCAATCAAGTCCTGTCATCAACTTCTTTGAACTCGGAATAGAAACTCATATACAGGGCAAAAAAGAAAAAAGTGCGTTTTGAAAAATCCTTTTATATCTTATTTATTATGAAAGATACAATAAAGAAGTTCAAAGAAGTCGATGACAGATTATTTGTAGGCCGAGTTGTAGGCACTCGATTGCCCAACTTTGTCCCCATTTGGTCCACCCTGCTGTATCTTCAATGGTTTCCAGAATCCCCATGTACAGGGTGATCTATTATAAATGTCACCCCCTGCTATCTTTTTCATTTGACAGAAGTGTCAAATACAAAAGTTTTGAGAAATTGTCAAAATTTTTGAACTAAGGGAGGATTTTCATGCATTCGTTTTTCCGTCGAAATATGTCCGTTTAACATTCTATTTTGACATATTTATTGACAGATGGTTACTGAAAATTCCGGTTACTCGGGGAACGAGAATATGAAATAATAAATAATTGACAGAATTTACAGATAAAACCAATAGAACCGACATCCGATAGCCGGTAACTATTTTGACATTTGGTTTACCAGATTTCAGGAAACCAAGGTCCAAAAGTAACCACTTTTCCAGGAACCAGAGTAATTTGATTACTTTTGGACCTCGAAACCACAACCCTGGTTATATTCGGACCACAGACTAAATCAGTTTTAGGCATACAGGGTGCGTCAAAAAATGTGAAGTTACATTTTTTTGAATGGAACATCCTGTATATTGTGCGCTTATTTGTTAGTCCCGTTAAACCTGATTTCAACTATATACGGTTTGATATATTTATCTCTTGGTTTATCTCCAATCTCCTAGGTCTCTCATGTTATTTTTTTTTTTAAATAATAATAATAGCTTAGACATCTGGATTTATTATAATATTTCACCTTGTATATTTATGAATAAAATTTGAACAATAAACTGTTTATAAAAAAAATTCTCTGAAGGTTAAATGGTATAGTTGTTCTTCTTTCAATATGATACCTTGAAAAGCGTTTCCATGTTTTTCCCTATAACTATTGAAGATAGAAATATCAAACCATATATTGTTGAAATCGGGTTAAAAGGGACTAACAAATAAGCACACAATATACAAGGTGTTCCATTTAAAAAAAAATATATAACTTCACACTGCTGCACTTTTTTGACGCACCCTGTATGCCTAAAACTGACTGTTAAAAACTTTCGACAATTTCTTGAAACTTTTGTAATAAATGTCAAATGAAAAAGTTAGATGGGGGTGACATTTATAATAGATCACCCTGTACTTCAAGTTATTCCATCATCCTGTATATAATATAGGTGGGTCCCTATCTGATTATTTTTTTATATAAAAATTACATTTACTTTGTTAATTCTGTTTGGTAAAGAAAAATTAATAAAATTTCACTTAAAAATCAAAAGTTATTATAAAAACATCTACAATACTTCATATCCTATATCTTCTGAGTTCTGTTGTGGCTTCAGAAACCAACTATTTCAACCACAAATTCTACCTTTATTTATACTTACCTAAAAGGTGTCGGTAAATAATTACACTGAGTAAAAAACTTCCTCCATTCAGCAATATAAGCCTTCAACAAAGCCTCTTCTTGCCTCTGAGCCAACACCCTATTCTGTGCCTGTTTAATAAATTGTACTATATCCTCGTGAAGGTGATCCCTCAATTTCCCGGGGCCCTTTTCGTCCCACAAACACACCAAATGGACATCGTAGAACAATTCTTGCCATTCAGCCGGAGACACTGGTTCTTGTTTCAAAAGTTTCAAAACTATGGGACGCATGTGGACCCATTTGTCCTCGAACTTTAACTGGCCCTTTTCCTGGAACATGTTTGGTTGGTTTTGTTTTTGCGTTTGGTTTCAATAATAATTGGATTATAGGTTTTTCATGCAGCCCTACCTTTAACATTTCGAGGTTACGATTTATAGCTGCAAGGGTCGAGATTATGATGAATTTGTGATATGCCTTTACATTCCTTTTGTTTATCAACTTATAGACGGATAAATTTGATTAGTTTGTTTCATTTGCCACCCAGTGATATATTAAAAAAATAAAAACAAAACTTTTGGGAACAACACAGACATTTTTGACAGTGTGAAAACGATGACAGATTTTCAAGGTTACTAGGAACTATTTGGCAACGCTGCAAAAAATTAAATCTTTAACAAGTTGAGGTTATGTCGTTGACAGGCAAACTAGACGAGGGCTTATTCATAGGTATCGATACAATATTCTTTCAAAACCTCCAAAAACACTTTAGGTTATAAAACGAATTCTTAAACGCTATAATCTTGTTAAAATCACCTTTTCTACATTTAAAATCAATGAAAAAATTAACTTACAAGCATCCCATTGAGGCCTGCGGGTGACGTCACTCGCAGGCCTTTACGACTCAAGAATTGGCGAACGTACGCTTTCTTTTCTTGAGGTTGAACCATTGAACAATCCTGTTAGTTCACGATTCTTGGAAACAAACAGGCAAGGGCCATTAAGTATTTCTGGATTTAGAATATTAGAGATGTAGAAGCCCCTTTTTGCATGTCAAGGTCCAGTGGAGGTCTAAGAAGAGCTCGTTCTTTCAAAAATATGTTTTAAATTATTTAAAAATATTCCTAATGAAATAAACAGGATTTTTTTTGAAGTATGTATTAACTATTTGATGCAGATGCACTGAAAAATATTCAAAAAAACAATACATCCAAATTCAATAACTTATCAAATTATCACTCAAACAAATCTATTATCCTAAAAAGAAGCACACCAAAATAACAAAACACACTTAAGCAATTATTCTAATCATAATTATTTCTGTTTGGCATTAAACCTCTTAATTCCTTTCCTTAGAGCTTCAATTCTTTGCAAAAGAGGCGGATGCGAATAATGCCACACAGAATACAACCAATCGTGAACAGGAAATCCTGAATTATCCTTATTCAGCTTCAGTAAGGCACTCTCCAACGCAACCCCTTTGTTCAGCTGCACTGCAAAGTCGTCAGCTTCAAATTCAAACTGCCTTGACAAAATAGTCATGAGGAATGACAAAATTGTGTTGTAAGGCATCATTACGTATTGGAGCACCACAAAGAGTCCAACAAGCACTGGCTGGGTGTTGTAGAATCCTAAAGCCGTGTACAGTTTTGGGTATTTGAATATCGTCCCAAAAACTGTAAACAGTAGAAATAAGTTCACTTGCACGATAATTAAATTTTTTATGGTATGATTTTTGCTCCAATGGCCTAGTTCGTGTGATAATACTGCTAAAATTTCATCGTCTTTACAGCCACTACCATCATCCTTTGCTAGTAAAGTATCAAAAAGCACGATCCTTTTTGAATTAAACAAACCATAGAAATAGGCATTGCTATGTGAGGACCTCTTTGAACCTTCAACAACATAAAGTTGAGTCAATGGGAACTTCAAACTCGAAGCTAAAGTTTCTATATCTGTTCTCAATGGACCATCAGGAAGTGGAGTGTATTTATCAAATAATGGAGCTATAACTGCAGGATATATTGTGAGCAGTAGCAATGTGATCACTCCAACAACAGCCCATAGCCAAATGAAGAAATAATCTCCACCGTTTTTAACCACAACGATTACAACACTGGCAATCATTGCAGTAATCATTTGAAACACAAAAAACTGCTTTATTTTGTCCCAAATAAAGAATCCCGGGGTTTGTTTGTTGAAACCAAACTTTTCTTCTAATATGAAGGTGTAGTAAATGGTGAAAGGCAAATCTAATACTGTAGTAATAAGTTGTAAAATCACTAGCCAAATGCAACTGGTTGAAACTTCATCATTGAATAAGTTGATGCTTTCTGTGTATTCCCAAACTGATGCTAGAAAGCCTTGATGGATAACGTAGGTGTTAATTAAAATTGACTGAAAATCTTTGATGAAACCGAATTGTAGTTTAGCTATGCTATAGTTTCTTGCTTTGTCGTATTCATCTTTTTTCATTACATCTTTTAGTTGTGGAGGGATTTGATCGGCTTTAGTAGCAACCCCATACTGTAATGGAAAATATATTTAAAAGTTGATCAAGCATAAATTAGTTAATATTGCGGATGAAAATGGGTAAAATTAAACTTACTTGTCTTATGGAAAGATAAGTTTCCCATATGTAATCAGCCCATAATAGGAAAATAATTATATTACACACACTTTGATCAGTTAGTGAATTTATTAAATCTAATGACATTTTGCTAATGGAATATCCTAAACCTATAGGGCTTAGAACTGTGCACTTCTTTAGATAAAAATCAAATCACAGAAGTACAAGAAAAAAAACCTATAACCTAACTTTTTCTCTTGCTGTGGTCATTGGGATTTCATTTTCAATCGATAGAACGATTTAGAACGAAACTAGTGCAATATAAACTCAGGTTTGATGGTTGTGTTGTTTGGCGCAGCACTTCCTGCTCTGGGGCGTTCGTTTGTATGGCGATGAACTGACGAGAGTTCGTTTGTGATGTGCAGTTTGCCGTCGCACCGGTGTCACACTCACACTGGGTGTGTCATTCCAGTTTTATGCAGTTGTTATTACCTTTTTATTAGGCAAACATAGGTTGAAGCTTTGAAAATAGGTGTTTGCAAAAATGCCAAGATTTCGAATTTGATTTTTTTACGGCTAAAACTTCAAGTTTTAGGGACGATGTCTAATGGTACATGGATACCTTAAACATGAATCTATTTTTTGACGTTGCGATATACAGGGCGTTCCATTGAAAATAGTGGAGAATTTCGGTGTTGAAAAACGGATTTTTTTTACTCGCCCTGTATAAGTTTTAAAAAAATTTAAAACCTACTAGAAAAAACTTTAGACCAAGAGAAATCGAATGGCGTCACTCTCGGCTGGGACACCCTGTATATGGGATTTAAATGGACATCTATCATAAAAAATTGAAAACAATGTATTTGATGACCATTATTAGGTCCATCAAATACGTTGTTTTCCATGATTTATGATGGATGTTCACCTAAATCCCATATATTATATTCATATTTAAAAGTAACAAGGGGTTGGGAACAAGATGGCGGTGTTTTCAATATAAATATATGGGATTTTAGAACCAATCAAAAATCAGACAGCAATTGTCGCCACTGTGGGTTATAGAGTCATAATAGGTCACTGTAGTAATAGGTATCCATCACGTCTCTTTGTAAAGGTACGGTTTGTTAGGTTCGTTCATTGGTTAGGATAGTACGCGACGCACAACTGACAGCGTAAAAGTCGTCATTGGTTCAGGTATGACGTACACCAGTTCTCTGACGTCAGTGTCAGCGTCAGAAAAAGGGTGTACGTCATACCTGAACCAATGACGACATTTACGTTGTCAGTTGTGCGTCGCGTACTATCCTAAAGCAGCGTTTTCCTAGCAACGCACATTTTACGCGACGTAGAACGTAATACGGCCGACGCAACGCAACAGCTAATGCGCTGCGTAAAAGTGTTTTCCTAGGATTGTCAGTTGCGTCCCGATCGTCGCGATGAGTATATCAATAAAGAAATTACTCGAGAAATTAGCTTTGGCTTTATTCGAGGCTTTATTATTATGTCTGCTTCTGCAGAAATCACAAACCAGTCAGAGCGAATTTCATTGGTTGAAAAGAATCAGAAACAGTCAGAAAACTAGTTTCAACCAATGAAATTCACTCTGACTGGTTTATTATTTCTGCAGAAACAGCCCTATTGTTACAAGATGAAAATTTGGAAGAAGAGATTAATATAATAGTTACGATTTATGATAGGACTAGAAATTCTGCTAGTCAATTATTTCAAAAAAGAAGAAGCGAAGGAGCATTTAGAGATACTTATCCATAAACATCTCGACGACGAAGTAAAATTTGAAAAGCATATTTTTTAGTTACAAGGCAGCAAATCTCATTTCTCCTCAATCTTGTGAGAAAAGATTTAAGTAAGGAATCATGGTAATCGCGTGCGACATCCTATTTCGCCACCTGAAAAGCTTGGCCTAACATTGAGGTATGTAAATATAATACAACAGGAGCATTTTCTTTGCCAACACGCAGCGTACAACTGAATAGACTGCTCTCCGAGCAGTCGTTCAGTTGCGTCGACCGTATTACGCTAGCGCAAGTCGTTTTTACGCGGTGTAGGAAAACACCTCCATTTGATTTTCATTAGACATGTCCTCAGCGTTTTACGCCGACCGAATTACGTTCTACGCCGCGTAAAATGTGCGTTGCTAGGAAAACGCTGCTTTACAAACCGTACCTAACCGTGGTTAGAAAACGGTATGTCATTTCTCTAACCGTTTTGTAACCCGGTTAGTCAAACCGGAGTCACGTGAAAAGAACTAATGATTCAACCTCACGCTTTCGTGGAGGGGTAAGATCAAGGATATTACACACTACTACTACAGGATAGCCTATCCTCATAAGGCCTGTGTGGAACAAATCTGAAGCCCTCCACCGACCACCACGCCAAATCACCAGTTGTGATGTAGCAGCATCTCGTCTCGTTTCTCGCCTTAGGCTGTTTGGCACTACAGGTTATGATTCCGCAGGCTTTTGCTTTGTGCATGCTTGGTTTTATTTACTACATTAATTAACGTTCTAAAATAACTCTTTTTTAGATCTCGTTTTCATCTTCTTCTTTGCCTATTATGCTAATCAAAATTAAATATTTTTTTTTCATAAATTTAAATTCTAAACTACCACCCCTAGCAGTGCAAGCAGCTAACGACTTAGTTATGACGTCACCAATGGTAACACACCAATATGGCAACGATTACCAAAAACGAGGCCAATAAGCAATCCTTATTATATGTTCCGTATTAAGTCCGTCGATTTTAATCTTATACTCGAAATGAATGTGAGCTGGTGGCACCCTACATTAGAACGCCAATTATCACTCACGTCACACCTGTTTTTGCTATATTATACATACTTCACCCCTTCGCTCCTCATACGGAAAGTATCAGATAAAAATAAAAATCGAGGAACAATATAGACTTTTACCACAGCATATAGAAAAACAATATATAGTTACGTAGCTACGTAATTTTACATTATTAAAATTTTAAAAAAGTTAAAAACTTTCCAACATGACTGATATTCGCCAAACTAAACTGAGATCAGTGTGCAACTGCGATCCGTCGTTTTTGCTCGACCAGATTTGCTCGTCGAACAAAACCATCAAATAAAAACGCAGTCTGTGGGGAAACCCATGACGTCACGTCAAAATTGGTTCAAACCGTTTCGAAATACAATCCAATCCAAGTTTTCAAACCATTTTCTCGCGCCGAGAAATTATGACGTCATGGTGATGTTACTTAAACCAGTTTTGAAAAATGTTTTGAAACATTTGAGATGCGAGAAAATGCCTCTTGTCCCGTAAGTTGGCACTTTTCAGGAACTGATATATTTGGGACACCAAACCTAGAAGTTGGTTAAAATATTAAAGTCTGTTTTTCATTTAAAGATAATTCTCCAAGTCAAAAATGTAGTAACTATGTTGGCAACACGAGCCTTTTCTACATGAAAAATTTGAAACCATTGTCAATTTTACATTATATTGCCAACATAATGTCATTTTGACTTTTATCTTTAAAAAAAAAACAAGCTTTATATATACGGAACTTAGGGCGGGTATTATAAAACTGCTTTGACAGTTAACTTGAAGTTAACTTTTTGAATTACATGTAATTTCAGAAGTTAACTTTAAGTTAACTCTCAAAGTCCGACGTCATAATTAAGTCGTCAACTGTTTAAGCAGCCTACGTCAAGGCAAGAAATAACATGCTGCCAACGTCAAAACTGGTAATTAGGCCTGGAGGGGAAAGGAGGGATTTGTTACCCACGGCCTTATGAGGATAGACCAATGAACTATAACCAAAAACTGGAATGCGTACACATATTGACGAACGTGAAGCCTAGTGCCGCTGCTGAGGAGGGGATACCTGTTTCTGTCGCACTCATTATGTTAAATGGCGGAAATTGCTTCCAACACGTATTCCAATTCATGAAACCTGTGAAGGTAAATATGACAAAACTTTCCAAAACGTCATATGTCAGCGAGCAACAGAAAAGAACAACATTCCCCCTTATGGCATCTGTCTTTCATGGCTAAATTTTTTTGGCAGATATGGCAATGTGTGCGCATTCCAGTTTTTGGCTATAGCTCATTGGGATAGACCATCCTGTAGTAGTAGTATGTATCATCCTTGAAGACAACCTAGAATCAAATGTCAAAAACGCCACCTTTGACGGTTCCCTGTTCCCTTCATTAAGCCCTGTACTCATCATAACTGCGAAATTCGCTCTTTTTTGACATTGCTTCGACAATTTGTCGTTTGATTCACGCATAAAACGTCAAATTGTCGAAGCAATGTCAAAAAAGTGCGAATTTCGCAGTTATGAGTACAAGGCTTTAACCTAGTACTCATAACAGCGAAATTCGCTCTTTTTTGACATTGCTTCGACAATTTGACGTTTTATGCGTGAGTCAAACGTTAAATTAGTCTATAGGCGATTTCGGCAAGCTTTGGTACATGGTTTGGTACCCTGTTTGGTCTGTCAAATGCATACCAACCAATTTCGGATACGAAAATGATGTCGTCACCGTGACTTTGGTATCCTTTTTGGTCTGTCAAATAGGATACCGTGGTCAGCAGCACGGTTCTTCTATTTGGTATAGCGCTATCTACGTCTATTTTCGTTTTGTCCTGCTCTGGGAAATGTAAATAAATGGAAGTTCATTAGAATTTGAATAATAATTTGAAATTTTTAGCAAATATGTTTGTTTTTTCGCCTTCATCTTCCTGTTTTCTCGTATGTTTTGACTGCCAAATAATGTTTGACTATCATTTAAAAAATAACTTTGAACGACAGATATGGGGTAACTTTTTTGCTGAATGGATTATGGAATATGCTTTAAATTTACAGAAAACGCTGAGTTAGCCAATAGGTTACTCAAAGGTACTGTTTAGTTAGACAGTGCTGATTAGTGATTATAGATTTTAGTCAGTGCAGTCAGTACCTAGTCACTCCCAAAACTAGAAGAACAACACAAAGTTAGGTTAAGGCTCGTCTCTTCCTCTCTCATGACCTACCAAACGAATTCGGAACAAAATGGTATCTTACGTCATTACTATGACGTTGCAGGTACCAATTGGTTAACCAAATGGTATACCAACCAAAGCTTGCCGAAATCGCCTTATGGTCCCTGGAATGGAAGCGACCGTTGTCGGATATGGCATTTGTCATCTCTCTAATGGTGTTTCCGATTGGTAGATTCAGTGCGCACTGAGTGTATTTGCATCCTTTTAATCGATCTGTAGAAGAAAAAGACAGAAATAGAAAAAATTGTACTAGTTCCGCACTAGATCTACCAATCGGAAACGCCATTAGTGCGTCCAAAGAAAGCTATATAGTGGGGGATCCCTTTCTCTCTCTATTTCATTGCTGTTAGGTTTGGTGTATATTCCTAACCTCAAATATAATATTTTTTAGACAAGGAAAGATTTTCATAAGTGACCCATAAGGTAAATAGAGATAGGAATCCCCTACATTCTCCATCTCCATGTGCCGCATTTTGGAGATAGGCCGGACCATTCCAGGTACGTGTAGTTTATAGTTCATTGGGGTCAGATTATCGAAGCAATGTCAAAAAAAGCGAATTTCGCGGTTATGAGTACTAGGCTTTATTCTATTCCTGTATATAAGAAAGGCTGGCAGCCTGCAACGTGACAGTCCTTAATCATCACTTGATAAAGCAAATTAGATTTCGACATCGTCATCTATTAAAAAAAATCCATAATTGTCCAAATCTGCCACAAATCAAATACAGAAATCCACAAAGTAGTAAATAAGCGGTAAATAATTAACCTGAAACCTCACAAATTAAAAATCGAGTCGTAATCACGTGACCAGCGAGCGCACAACTGTTACACGCTGTAGCAGAGTGGTCGAAATTTTAATAAACGAACGCGATTGAGCCGGCACCGAGCACACTTTTTAAATAAGCGAATGGTAAATCCAAGCTCGGAGAACTCGGATCAAATTACCGAACGCACGGTTGGTTGAACTAGAGCAGTTATTTATAATCGAGTAAAGTAATATTGCATCGGAGTACATATTTTTTAATGACTTGGGAACAATCGGAGTAGTTTCATTACGATATCGAATTCGAAAGTAGATTGGAGCGAGAAGGATTATGAGTCCGTGAACTTAGTGCAAGAGGACTGAATTATTCATAAAAGCCCCTTCTTGCATGTTCACTACTCGTCATTTTTTTTCTCAATTTTTCTGCATTTCTTCTCTATTTAACTAAGTTTTTCCGTCTCAATTTTTGTCACATTAAATTTAAGAGCTCTTTTAAATTTCTTCATTTTCTTCTTTCTATTTCTCAATTTTTCCAGCTCAGTTTTTGTCCATTCGCGGCTTATCGATATAAGTAAAGAAAACTCAAGAGCCTAATAGAAAAAATATGAATGCCTGATCCAAAAACACTCCACCAAATAAATAGGATTGCTCAACGCTCAACCTAATAAAGCGTACGTTCGGCAATTCTCGAGTCGGCAGTTGGTCTGCGGGTGACGTCACTACTATCAGCAGCTCATAAAGCCTGTTTTTTTATTGAAGATAATTCCCCAAGTCAAAAATTTAGTAACTATGTTGGCAGCACAAGCCTTTTCTACATAAAAAATTTGACAGCATTAACAATTTTTCATTGTATTGCCAACATAAAATCTGTTTCTTTTTTAAAGATAAAAGTCAAAATGACATTATGTTGGCAATACAATGTAAAATTGTCAATCTTTCAAATTTTTTATGTACAAAAGGCTTGTGCTGCCAACATAGTTACTAAATTTTTGACTTGGGGAATTATCTTTAAAAAAAAAACAGACTTTAATGTCACTTTGACTTTTATCTTTAAAAAAAAAACACACTTCAGTGGTAACGTCACCCGCAGACTTTGATGGATTAGAATCTGTTTTTTTTTTAAAGATAAAAGTCAAACTGACAATATGTTGGCAATACAATGTAAAATTGTCAATCTTTCAAATTTTTTATGAAGAAAAGTTCTGTGTTGCCAACAAAGTTACTAAATTTTTGACTTGGGAAATTATCTTTAAAAAAAAACCAGACTTTAGTTGTATTTTTTTATACCTAGGAGGAGCGCCGGAACAGCTCCAGGGAGTTACACGTTACACGCTTATTCCTTTCGAAAAATTTTTGTTGCATCTGAGTGCTCAAGCCCGAATAAACCCATTTAAATGCATGAAAGCCAGCGCATCTGTTCCTTCCAAATCGGGGTCGACTAACACCGGAGCGAGTAGCTCTAGTGTTTTAAACTCTTGAAAGGAATACAACTATTGCTTGCGATTCAGGCTGGGCTTTAAGAATGTGAGTTCGTCGATTTCAAATGTAGAAAAGGAGATTTTAATGTTTAGGAATTCATTTTTTTACCTCTCTTAATACCCACACATCATATCTTTGCAAACAGCCTACGTCAAGACGAGAAAGGACATGCTGCCTACGTCACAACTGGTAATTTAGCGTGGTGGGGGGCTTCAGATTTGCTCCACCCGGGCTTTATGAGGATAGGCTATCCTGTAGTAGTACTTTGTATTTTCCTTGCAAACACCCTACGGGCCGGTTTCTTAATAGCGAGTCACCCCCGGGTTGGTTTTAACTCCAGGGTTAACGTGTGAAATTGCAATGTTTACCCTGGAGTTAGCTTAACCCGGAGGTGACCTGCTATTGAGAAACCGGCCCTACGTGAAGGCGAGAAACGACATGCTGTCTTTAAGCCTAGTACTCATAACTGCGAAATTCACACTTTTTTGACATTGCTTCGACAATTTGACGTTTAATGCGTGTATCAAACGTCAAATTGTCGAAGCAAAGTCAAAAACATGCGAATTTCGCAGTTATGAGTACTAGGCTTAAGCTATCCTGTAGTAGTAGTGTGTAGAGCCGTCCAAACATATCGATATGCACCTTCATCAAGGACGTATCGATATCTTGTATCGATAAACTCATTTCTAAATCACTGTCAAAAACAGCTGTTTTTTATTTTTAAATTATATTTTTTTGTAATTATGTCTTGTTTTCACTATTTTCCAGTAGAAATTGGTAATATAAATTATTTTTAAATATATTCCCAACGTAAAAAACGGCCATCCTAAAATAAAACACAAAACTTCACAAACAAAAATCATGGATATGAAGGTAAAAATTAGTAGAGATAATTTAATTTTGAATTTATTAGGTAAATAATTTTGGTTTTTAAGGGGATTACAATTGCCGTATCAAAAGGCATCATAGATAGTTTTAAGGGCATGATAGCTATATTTTACTTGGACAAGGAAATAAATAAACGAGCACAAACTAGGCATAACAAGCAAAAACACGAGTAGGTTAACAAAATCTACTAATTTTGATGACTCATTCTAAGAATTCGAGCCTTATTTTAACGAAAGTTCATTATTTTAGAGAATCCAAAGTAGTCCACAATGTAATTCAATGCGCCTTATTAAACGGAGGAGTATTTTTACTAAGCGTACTATTATTCGAATACGTTTTACTTCCTAGCATAGATGCCATATTTAGAACGATGTTTGGAGCTGAATCATTCGTAACAAACGTAGTCTGGTCTTGGGTGAAATTTTTCATATTGAAAATTTATCAAACCGCTTGGCTGGTTCCACTGTTTTTACTTAGCAAAGTCATCAACGCGCTCTGGTTCCAGGTAACAACAAGTGACCTGGTTAATTTTTTTTTACTTAAAATTCATTTAAGGATATTGCTGATTCTGCATACCGATACAGTCGTGGACGTCCAGTCTCCTTTTCAAGCATCAGCATGTTTTTCGCAGATTCAATATTCAGCATAGTGGTCCAATGCTTGTTCTTAATTCAAGCCACCCTCACAAGCTATATACCAATTTACCCGTTAGGATATATGTTGTATACAGTTCAAGTGGCATTATTATATTCGCTATATTCTTTTGAATATAAGTGGTGTAATATGGGCTGGGAATTACACAAGAGGCTCTCTTTTATTGAGGAAAACTGGCCTTATTTCATTGGGTTCGGTTTGCCTTTGGCTATATTTACAAATATATGGGATTCATGGGTGATAGGGTAAGAATTTTTAGGGTTGAGATTCAGCCAAAATCAATTATAATATTTTTTTTAGTGGCTGTGTATTTTCAATTCTATTTCCTTTGTTTATTATTAGTGGAAATGAAGCTAGTCCTGTAATGGGTGCAAGGTAAGCAAGATTTCTCTGGTTCGATTGAATTGTGCAAAAACAAATTATTTCCAGTGAATATCATCTACAAATGTTCTCTCTAGTAATAGCTGTAGCAAATACATTATTCAGTAGGACGATTGGCCAAGCAGTAGCAGTGCACTGACACAGGGAAAGACCAAAAAATTCGACAGCTTATTGTTGATAATAAGACTTGACTTAATTTTTTGTAAATATATTATACAAATATGTAAACGGGGGACTTGTTTGATATTATTCTTGGTTTGTACAATTTTTAAATTATATTTTCTTGTTTTTATTTCTATTTGTAAAATAAACTTTTTTTTGAATACAATATTGTTTAATTTGCTATCTTCCAAATTTCCATTGTCGAAAAATAAAATGATAAGCTGACAAACCAGGACACCAAACCATGTACCGTTAAGAATCTGCACAGAGCCTATAATTTGTGCGTGAGTTAGATGAGGCTTCCTTAAGGACAATATTACTATATATTTTATTTTAGTTTCGCTTACGCAGCATATTATATTCATTTAAGCTTATTCCGCTCTCACAAAAATCAGTCAGAGGCTTTCTTATTGTTAACAACGTTTTGTAACAATTGTATTTTAACCCGTATTTTTAAACATTTTTGTTTTAGAAATAGAAAATTATTTTTTAAAACAAAGTGTCGTGTTGTTGATACATAATTCGTGGAATTAGAAATTCATACACAGAGTGCTTCTAAAATCGTTTATAGGATGGTTTTTCACACATTGGAACAGACCTAACATAAACTAGTCCAAACCAATCAGAGTAGGTATAGTTTTCAAACTTCCTAGATGAAAGAATTCAGATTGCTTTTGGGATGCTGAGTGGTACTTAGAAGAAACGAAACATCCCATTTTGATGCAGGGAAAAGCTCAGAAATTGTTCTACAACAAAGTACTGCCACTGAACAATATCCAAATCATAACACAATATCTTCAAGCGCAGAACATCAATAACCAGATATAAATCCTATCGAACATTGCTGAAATGTTATACAGATACAGAAACCTTGCTACAAGGAAAATGAGGAAAGTATTTCTGGAAATATAGCAACATCTGGAACAAGTAGGCACTTAGAAAAAAAAAACTGACTTATGTGAATCACTGGTTTATTCACACTTACTACTTGTATGCATATTTTTTTTTTGTAATGTACTATGTTATTGAAACAAATAAAGTTCTACTTTAAAAGCCTGTGTAGACAATAACCCAAAAAAATTCACCTTTTAAAAACTAGAAAAACGCGATTTTTCTGAAATATGTATAACCAAAGTGTAATGAATATACCTATTTATTAAATATTATATTTTTTTCAAAAAATCATTCAATTACAAAAAACATTACCAGAGAACATCCTTAAGCAAATTATGTTTTAAAATCTACTCTCATACACGTACCAATTACTAGAAATTCAAATTATTTATTAAAAAAGCAGCATAAAAGTGTTTTTACCCAACATAGAAAACTATTCACTTAAATCGTCTCTCGATATACTTAGTTTGGGTCAAAGCACTTTCTCCGTGAGAAGGATCCATCATTCGGTCCCAATTAGTGTGACCGACAACAAATCCTAGAGCTTTCATCTTTCTCTGTTGTTTCTGTTCCTCCAAGTCGGCCCAGCGAACCTAAGAATTTCAACAATTATTGACATTTTCCTTTAAATATTGTCAGTGAAAAATCATACTCTTTTCTTTCCTGGTTTGGTTGGCTTCTCTGGTTCGTCCCACTCTGCACCGTCGTCCAATTGGAGGTACTCTTCCATAGTCCTTGATGGTCGTAAGGGTTTGCTGACACCGTCAAGTCTTGCTGTAAAAGAACAATATTTTTTAAAAACTTATTTTAAGGCTTTAGTCTTAAAATTGATGCCTATGCTTCCAAAATTCAACTCATACAATAAAAAAAGAGAAAAATTTGTACCAAATATTACTAACAGTTTGATGCATTTTCACAGAGAGAAAAACCCATCCCCTAAATTAAATATGTACCAGAAAGTACGGACATCAATTTCAAGACTCATTTTCAAATATTGATAAAGATGCATGTGCGTATATTTTTTAGAAAAGTCTTGTAAAGAGAACTTTGCAGTTCAATATAGACATCATTTTCTCTGTGAAGATACTAAAGAGAAATAAAATAACAAATATGCATAATAGTACTTGGACATATGCTTCTAATATGTCAAATTTTTCCATTAGTCTACCCCTAAAATCCTTTTAACTAATAAGGAATTTGACTATAAAACTTAAAAAACAATAATTCCACCCCCAAAGATAACAACAAATTAAAAAATCGAAAAAACTTACCCAAATTGTTTATAGAACAGTCAAATGTGTCCCATCTGCTAGCTTGTCCCTGCGGAGACTAAAATATTACTAAAAGTTGCATATTCCAGGCAGGATTTTTTTGAAATTCCCAAATTTAAAACGCTAATTTGCTGTGGAAAGAAAATAGAATATTTGTTTGACCCTATACAGGGTGTCCAAAAAAAAATTACGCCCTGTAACGATGATTTTCCATTTGAAAAAATACACGCACATGCATGTACGTTTTGCAGTCGTTTCTTAAAATAAAAATATACCTCTGCATCTTCATTAGTTTCTTCTTGAACATCCTGGTCGGCTTCTTCCATTTCAACTTCCTGAATCGAGCTGACACTTTGTAAAAAGCTGGTTGGGTCTAAAAGAGGATGATGATTGGGTGTTGGCTCCCAACTAGCGATACAATCCTCTATGTAGGATTCAGGTCGGTTGTGGATGTTCCTTTCTATACACAAATCAGGATCGAGGTCCAGTTGACAAATATACACCTGGAAATTTACGTAAAATATTGGCAACAACAACATGTTCCTTACCTGAAATCCGTTCTGTTTAGCAAAACTCCACATTTCTCCAAAATGTTTAACTTTTTCATTTATATTATCCACAACCACAAAGGGAAAATATCCATCGGTAATAGTTTTCTTGAAAGCCTTGACCAAACTCAACCGATATGCTTCTTCCATGGCTTCCTCGTATTCGTAAACCATTTCTTTCACTCTAACAAACTTTCCATCTTCCACGACTGTTCTTTCGTGTTCAACCATAAAATAATCGTCCAAAGATAAAATTCTTGGGGCCGAACCACTATGTTCCACTTCTCTGTCTTTAATTAATTTAGCCAAATACGTTTTTCCACTACCAGGTGGACCTCGTAATATGATAACGATCCTATTGGGTCTCTTATATCTGCCCGGAGGGTTTATTAATTCGTCCAAAGTGGTGTTTTGACTGAAAATTTTACTGTTTGGTGCAGGATTTTCAGGAGTGTTTCTAGATGCAGGATTTTTGGAAAAAATATGTCTCGGAGGATTTTCAGGATTGTTTCTAGCTGGATTTAAGGAATAATTGTTTTTTTCTGAATTCATTCTTGCCGGTGGCTCAATAGTTAAAGGAGATTCTACAGACTTATGCGGGGGAGGAGAAAATTTTAGAGGTGCTTCATTTTCTTCATTTTTATCGTCATTGAAATCATCGTCAGATAAATCTTCGAGCTCCAAAGGTTTAGCTATTTCAGCTTTAGTTCTTGACGAAGTCTGTCGATTATTATCTCTATTATGAGGAAAATCTTTTTCCCGATTAAAACTATTATCGTTCCATTCCATTCTGTTGTCTGCAGGTGCAAACCTTTCTCTTGAATATCTGTAATCTTGATTATTTCTCCTGTCAGCTCTGTCGTAGCCCAAATCGCTATTGAATCTGCTCGTACCCAACGGATCAAATTGCTGGATATTTCTTAGAGTGCTGGAAAGCCATATCGGTCTATCTGGGTACGGGATACGATTTACTGGCTTGTGTCTGTAGTCGAACATACGAGTTATGGTAAGAGACACTTCAGGTTCAGCTAGAAATTTTAAAATAATAAAATTGAAATTAGTTTAACTGAGGGAAAAAGTGCGTGGTTCTTTAACAATAGAACTTCGATATCATTCAGGAATCAAATTCCCCCATATGCGAGCCCTATTTTATTAGTCAAAAAGAAAACAGGTGAGATGCCTATGTGTGTAGACTACCGAGCGTTGAATTACCAAGAATAGATCATCTAAAACGTTTAAGAGGAAGCAAGCACTTTACATCACTTGATATGGCATCAGGCTACCACCAAATACCAGCAGAGTCTAGAGCAAAAACAGCATTCATTACGCCAGATGGGCATTATGAGTATACACGAATGCCATTTGGATTAGCAAATGCTCCAGCTGTATTTCAGCGAAGTATTAACCTAGTTCTGGGATCATTAAGATTTAGGTAATACAGCACTGGCCTACATGGATGATATCTTGATTCCGACAATTAACTTTGAAGACGGATACAACGCTTTATCAGAAATCTTCAGAACCTTATTCAAACTTGTGATTATATCCTTGAGTCTTTAGATTATCTAGAGGTTTTAAAAGATTTTAATTTATGTCCTAAATCAAAAGAGCCTGTATAGTACTCAGTGTAGTCCCTAGAGTCTTTGTTTAGGACAAAATTGCGTTTCTTGAGTCATAAGCTTTGAGAAACTTTCAAGTCTATGGAATCTTTATATAACAGGTTTGAAACTTTAATCGATCAGAATCTTTAAAACTTTAAATTTTCACCCAAAACTTCAGGTTTATTAGCTTTGAGATGACCTGATTTGTTATTCAATAATCTCAATAAAAAAAGATCTTTTATACTTACGTTCTTTAAGTGGTTTATGGTCGTAGTCGATAATAAGCTGAGGTACATACTCGTCACACGGAGGTTCAACTTCCGGAGGCGTTATATTCAAAGTTTCACTCATAATATTGGAACCTTGACTTTCGTGCAAAACATTGACAGGTTGATTTTCACGTACCGCTTGTTCTTCATTATACATATCGTGATACTTATCATATTCTTCATCTTCCTGCCACGCTTCTTCTCGATTGTCGTACTGTGGTTCATCATAATCATCATTTTGCTTGTAACCAGAATCATCTTCATAAGACCTGTTATTGTAATTGTTACTGCCATAATTATTGGAGTTATTGAAACCTGGCCCGTTGTTTGAGTTTCTGAAATTGTTTTGCCCGCTTGACGAATCCTCAAACCGATTTGACCTTCTATCATTGTATTTTCCATAGTTGCCATTATTGCTCGAGTTATTAGTATAACCCATGTCCTGGTCATTAGTGAAACTTGTCCGAGTTTGATCATCGAAATTATTAGGCTCCGAATAATCATCATAGTTGTTCATATTTGGAGGAGGTTTTACTGTCATGCTCAATAAACTTGGAGGGTTGGATTGTTGCTGAGGAGGGTTGAATTGTTGTTGCGGAGGAGGATTGAATTGTTGTTGTGGAGGAGGGTTGAATTGTTTTTGTGGAGGGTTGTATTGTTGTTGCGGGTAGGGACTAATCGTTGGTCTAGATTGTTGTTGATAATTATTTTGAAAGTTTGATTGATGTTGATGAGGGTTGGATTGTGGTTGCAGTTGATGAGGGTTGGATTGTGGTTGCTGCTGATAAGGAGTGATTTGTGGAGGAATGGATGCAACATTAGCAGCAGCCAAGTTTTGATTTTGCGAAACTCTAGATAAAATATTTAGCAATTTAGGATCACCCAAAATTGTATTTATGCCTTTGGAAATCGCATCAAAATCGGGGCCTTTATTTACTGGCGGATTAGCAGTTTCATTAATAGGTTCTTCAACTACATCATCTTCATAATTTGCATCCACATTGCCATCTTTAACTAAATCCAATCCTGGAATGCCTCCCAAGGAGGGAGAACCTGATTTTAAAAAGTCGTTTCCAATATTCTCTTGTTGTTGCTGACTGATATAGTTGTTGCTGGTGGGTGGTTTAAAGCCCAAAGGCTCATTATTATGAGTAGGAGGTGGTTTACTGAAAACATTTTGTGGCGGTTTTACTGGTTCCACAACTACAGGAGGTTTAGCTTCTTTAGCAGCAGCTTGAACAGCCAGACGTTTTTTCCTCATTTGCTCACGCCTATCGAGAAGCGAATTTCTCCACGAATCCCATTTTTTCTCGTATTCGGCATATTGAGTTTTATCCGGATGATTTGCATTCTGATCTTTCCATTTATTAAATTGAGCTTCCCAAGCGGCAAATTCTTTATCGAATTTCTTCTCTGCCTCGCTCAATTCTTCTAAATTTGGAGCAACTTGCGGTTGAGTTGGTTGCATTCCTCTGTTCCACTGTTCAGTCATTTGCCTTTTGTTGGCCTCATGATCCGGAGTTGCTAACAAGGGTCGTTTGTTGTTAGGGTTTTGCCAGTTTGGTGGAGGTACTCCCATATTCTGACCACTATTGTAGCCCGCAGCAGCTGTATTGTAATGACCAGATCTGTTAGCATCGTCTGGAGGTGGTGGTGGAGGAGGTTTGTTTTCATTTGGCGGCGGTAACGGTGCACCTCCACTAGGTAGAGGATTAATTGCTGGTAGAGCACCCATCGATTTCTGATACTGAAAACAATAATTATTCAACACATACCTAAGGTGTACGTATATATAAAAATATTGTGAGAAAGGCAAATAGAATAAGAAGTTGCAGTTTTCTGATAACAAAAAAATACATATAATTACCTCTGCGCCATATTGTTGATGCCACTGGGTGTACTGTTGTTGCCACTGAGCCCATTGTTGCCAGTTTTGTTGTTGCATCTGAGCCCATTGATCCGGAGAGTACTGCTGCATTCCGACTGGAGGTACTATTGCTGGTGCCGCATTTATAGGGTTCGGCAGTACCGCGGATTGGATCGGTGGCGCAGAAATGACCCCGGGCACAGTCAAGTGGGGTCTTGGGGGTTGCCAATTGCCCCACGACATTTTTCTGTTGTTGTGTTAGTTTTCAATACTGAAAATTTAAGAAATGTATTCACTTTTCATTCGGGAATTGAAGTAGATTTTGAGTTGTTTGTAAGACCCCTATATACTTTATTTATTTATTTATTTATTTATTTACTTATTTATTCAATTCTTTACAAACACCATATAGAAAAACAGTAATTATATGCAAATAATAGACACTAGGGTCCCAAAGAAAGAAAGAAATACTTAACAAACTATTTATTAGAACTAGATTAAAAATTATTAAAAAACAAAAGGTAAAAAAGGACATGATGTACATATAAAATATATCACACTAATTTATCACAAACATCATAATTGACCAGGACCGGTATTCTTGTTCGCCAAAACGCTCACTACTTTTTAGTCACTCGGCACTTCTAATGTAAATTTACATTAGAAGTGCCGAGCGACTAAAAAGCGGTGAGCGTTTTTGAGAACGAGAATACCGGCCCAGGTGTGTATAAAATCAATTCATAACTCATTTAACACTTATATAATTAACAAGTAAACAGTAACCTGATTTCTTTGGCATTAGTTTTAAATATATCAAAATCTTTAGACTCTGACAAAGCATTACAATTTGCCAGCATATTATTTAGTGGAGATATACTTCCCAGAGTTACAAAGAATGTTTTTTTATTAAGGATTCTTAGATTAAGTTTAGGAACATTGAATTTAATGAAATTAATAATCTTGCAATAATTATAGTTTAAGTCATTTACAATAAAAAACACAAACAAAACTGCATTTTGATTCCTTCTATCAAATAGAGTTGTATAACTAAAACCCTCGAGCATACTCCTATATGAAAGCATGTGAGGATAAGTACCATTTTCCCTGTAAAAGAGATACCTCAACAATCGCTTTTGCACCTTTAAGGATAAAGGAAACAGGAAAACCGTAGTCGATCATGGATCTTCTTGGAGCTAATCAACACCTTATTTTCTGAGAGTCAAAGTACATTCATTCGCTTGAGACTGACCAGAGATAGACGCTAAACTACTAATGGTTTACCTTAACAAAAGCTTTACTGGAGTCAGTATATGTTGTATAAGTTTCTGCATTATTATGAAATGAAACATTTATTAAATTTCCAAAGAGAAACAGGTTCGTGTCAACAGATTTACTGACTGTAAAACCATGTTGTTGACTGATCACAGTAACTGGTAAATCAAGAGGTGATGAGGTCTTGATAGCGGTCTCCAAAAACTTTGTTGTTCAGATTATTGACTCCAGATCCAATAATAGCAATGTTGATGAGATCTGGGTGCTAGTTAATATTGGTATTACTAAAGTTATTTTATGTGGTGTTTATTTTCTACCGAGTTTTCTACCCAATTCTAAGCTAAACGACTATCGGAGTGATTTTACAAACATTGAAGAATTATCGCGAGTTTATTATGACTCAGTATTTTGTATCACAGGTGACTATAATATATCAAGTGGCAACAGTCTGACATCTGCATGACACCTGTTTATACTTCTAATGATTAATGATATACATATATGTGAACTAATGGTAGCTACTTCAACATTTTTAGATTCTGGTCAGGTTAATTCGATTTCAAATGCCAATAATGTATTCTTGGACTTAATTTTAACAAATAGAGACAACTGTGATATCTCAAGTGCTTGTGATATTTTAGTACCATGTATGTGATGCTCATCACCCAGCCTTATTGATATAAATTAAAACTAAAAGTATTTTAAAGCCTCTTCCATATGAGGAATATGCATTTGATTTTAAAATATGTGACTATGATAGTATTAACAATTTTTTAATGTCCCAAGATTGGGATAATGTTCTACTTGTGATAATGTACCTAAATGTAAGTGTTGATAATTTTTATAATATTCTTAATAACTCTATTGCCTTATTTGTACCTTTCAAATTACTTAAGAGCAATTTTCAATTTCCTATATATTTCAGCGATGATTTGAAAAATAACACATTGAAAAAAGAAAGATGCCCATAAATGATATGAATGCAGTGGATTTGTAAGCGATTATGAGGAATTTTCTATCTTAAGATGATTATGCAAAAAACAAAAAGACACTTGCCTTGTTACAACAGTTTCATGTTGGATGTAGAGCAAATGTCTTCGATAATCCGAAGTTCTTTCGGAAATATGTTCGTTTAATAACCAGATATCATCGGACAGCAAACAGATTGCAGACATTTTCGCACTGCATTTTCAATCAGTTTATGAGGCTAATGATCAAGACGTAGAAGACATAACAGTACATTCTGATTCAAGAATCTCAAATATTAACCTTAGCTCACATAAAATTAAGATTTCAGATGTTCTCAGTGGGTTGGAATTATAAAATTCCCATAAAAGTCCTGGACCTGATGGAGCATCCCCAATATTTTTGCGTAATTATGCTTTTTCTGTGTCTAGACCTATCTGGCTGTTGTTCGGTTCCCCTTTAACGGAGGTTGTATTTCCTCATGTATGGTAGTTGTCTTATGTAAGACCTATTTTGAAAGGCTCAGGTTCGAAAGAGAGGCTTCAGAAATTTAGCTTCATCAACAGGTATGGAAAACTCTATAGCTGGGTGATAACAATCACAGCCCACCAGATCATCGGATATTACAATTGAAACAGGCTCAAAGTTGGTAAAGCATAAATTCAGAATTGAACCATGCTCAATAAGTCCCATTGTATTGAGACAGCTTAAGAGAAGCAGTACCATTGACCTTTTCATCATCTCCAATTGATAAACTAGAGAGATCCTCACTAGTGGAGCACATTATTTGAGAAAGATTATAATCTCGAAGAACAAGCACATATTAAAGGTCTATAAACCTAGCAGTCTCAAGGTGGAAAAAAACTTCGGGGACTATATAATAATTAGGTGCTTTTTATGTGCTAATTAGGGCCTCTAATTAAAAATTAGGTGCTCCTCTAGTTTTTGAGAAAATCAAAAAAAACTAAGGGACTGCTAGGTTTATGAAAGTAAGAAGTCCCCTATAGTAAAAAATGTTTTTTCAAAATTTTCTTTTGTATCAGAATTAGGTGCTTGTTAGGTGCTCCTAAATAGTTGAGGAAAAAATAGAATTGATTAATTATTAACTAAGTTACAGATTTTTTTTAATAATTAGGGGACTGCTGGCTTTACGTATACATATTGGTGTGTCAGAATGGAAAAAAAACTTCGGGATCTATATAATAATTGAGTGCTTTTTAGGTGCTAATTAGGGCCTCTAATTAAAAATAAGGTGCTCGGTGCTCCTCTAGTTTTTGAGAAAATCAAAAAAAAACTAGGGGATTGCTAGGTTTATGAAAGCTAATAGTTCCCTATAGTTAAAAATATTTTTCCAAAATTTTCTTTTGTATCAGAAATAGGTGCTTTCTAGGTGCTCCTAAATAGTCAAAGAAAAAATAGAATTGATTAATTATTAACTGAGTTACAGATTTTTTTTTAATTATTAGGGGACTGCTGGCTTTACGTTTACTTGTTAGTTGTTGGTGTGTCAGAATGGCAAAAAAACTTCGGGATCTATATGATAATTAGGTGCTTTTTAAGTACTAATTAGGGCCTCTAATTAAAAATTAGGTGCTCCTCTAGTTTTTGAGAAAATCAAAAAAAAACTAAGGCACTGCTAGGTTTATGAAAGTAAGAAGTCCCCTATGGTAAAAAATATTTTTTCAAAATTTTCTTTTGTATCAGAATTAGGTGCTTTTTAGGTGCTCTAAAATAGTTGAAGAAAAAATAGAATTGATTAATTATTAAATGAGTTACAGATTTGTCTTTAATTATTCAATTTCAATTTCAAATAAGCTTTATTGTCTCAATTTAAAAAAAAATTATTGACAAAGCAGTTTCTAAACTAAAAAATAACAAAATTCAACAAAAATATCAAAAACATAGAAATGAACAATTGTACAAAGGTTAAAATAAAAATAAAAATAACAGTAAGAATAAAAATAGAAATAAAAACAAAGACAAGAGAAGCCAACAATCAGAGGGAGCCGACACCACATTAAAGTATGTCGTTAAATTATTCTTCAATGTCATAATAGGCCTTCCCCTCCAGCAATTTTACAATACCTCTACGAAATAATTTTGCATTCGATATCTCTTTCAAGTCGGTTGGTAGATGATTATATATTTTAAGGCTTTCGTAAATTAAAGAATTTTTGGTCAAACTAGATCTGGGAACTGGTAGAGGGAGCCTGCCCGACTGCCTTGTTGTACGGACTCCAGATACCACCCCTCCATACTTTTTATGAACCAAACAAACAGTTTCCAAAATAAATAAACAAGTTAACGTTAAAATTTTTGAAGAAAGAAACAGGGGACGGCAATGTTCACGTTGTTTTTTATTATGAAGATAACGGATGGCACGCTTTTGAAGAACGAATGCTGAGTGAAAGGCGTAACCTGGGCAAAACCCCCAAAAGGCCACCCCATAACGTAAAACAGAGTCCACCAGGGAGAAATACACGATTCTTGCCAGTGAATACCCCAACTCTGAAGTAGTCATTCTCACAGCAAAGCAGGCAGAAGCCAGTCGAGCTTTCAATCGCTCTATGTGCTCAATAAATTTTAAGTTCTTGTCGACAATTATTCCTAGAAATTTTACACTAGAGGAACAACCTATTGTTTGCGTCTCCAAATTTATGGGATCAACAGACAATCCAAAGGAAAGAATGTTTGTTTTGGAGATATTAAAACACAGTTGGTTGCTGTCACACCACTGCTTCATGGAAACAATATCTGCAGTCATCGCCTCATGCAGAGTGGATCTAGGACAGCGCCACAGAGCAGTAGTATCATCCGCAAACCGCGTAAACATACAACTAAGAGGCAAGGAAACAAGATCCTCTACATAAATTGAAAACAGTAAAGGTCCCAAAACTGATCCTTGCGGGACTCCTCTAGGATTTAAAAGAGGCTTAGAATATGTACTTCTACTACCCACGACCTGAAAACGATCAGACAGCATTGACAGGGTCAGTTCACTCGAACGTCCCTGGAAGCCGTATCGCTCCAGTT